ATGGTGAATGTGTTCTGAATTGTAGCTTCTTCTGTGATTGCTTTGCCTTCCTGCATGTCAATCTACTCAGCCAAGATTCTCTTCTTCATTTGTTTGTATTCTGCACCAGCTCTTAAAAGAATTGTAAAAATCTTCAGTTCCACTTTAGCAATGTTGATAGGAAATAAATGAAGTTAGGAAGTGATTCTTGCTGAGGGAAAGAAAAGAAACTTGATTCTGTAATGCAAATCATACCTGAAGGTAAATTCCCATAGAGAAGTGAGATACCAGCCAGCTTCTCATGCACACATCCAAGAGGCTGGGGGATAACGTTTCCACTACCTACTTCCTGCTTTTCATCTCATGTAAGGTCAGGATGATCATGGTTAGCTGATCAGCTTCCCGTGCCAACAATGTTAATCACAGAAAACAGCTAAAGTACAATCCAGTTGCCAATCTGTTTGATAGCTGCACATGGAATCGAATGACAGGATGTCATCTTGTCCATTAGCTCAGGCAGCAAGGATCAAGATGGCATCCCCTTGGGATAGACCAGCCTGCAGACCTCAGCCCTAAACCTGAAAAGACCTTTGGTGGTATCGGCATACAAGAACACTGAGACAGCGCTTATATGTTTGCCCTCCCATTTAGCCTTCAGGTGTACCAATTGATCTTCCACATAAGATTATTCAAGGTGTTTTTTTTAAAGAAGTGTTTTGTTGTGGAAGTTGCCAGGAGCAGCAAAGCTGCAATAAGTATATACAGCCATCATGGGCACCAAGCGGGTGGTGGCCATGGAATTGCTGGTTGTATAGGGCAGACCATGCTAAAGTAAAGGATGTGTGCATGCCCAACTGTCTGATTTTTCTCTCTTGTTGAGAAAAATGCCTTTTTCTTCGAATTTTCCCCGAACAACGTGCTTTGTCTTGTTATGCACAGCTATGGAATTAAACGTGCAATGGAAGCATTTGTTACTTAATCCCCAGGACACAAATGTTTTCTCTTATTAATTGGTTTTCAGTTCTGGTTTACTATTTGATAAAACACTCTTTCTACATATGGGATTCCTATACTACCTAGTATAACCCCACAAACTGGACAAATGCATTGGCAAAGCAGCTAACATGTTCTCTAGACTCACAAAGAGAGTATGGCTTAATAAGAAGCTGATAGTATATACAGTACCAAGATCCAGGTCTATAGAGCCTGTGTCCTGAGTACACTCCTGTACTGCAGTGAGTCCTGGGCCCTTTGTGCATGGCAGGAGCGGAAGGGCTGCATGTTCCAGCTGCGATACAAGGACATCTGCAAGTCCAAGCAGTGAAGTCCTGGAACGAGCTGGAATTGTTATCATTACTGAAACAGTGACGTCTACGTTGGCTCGGGCATATCGTGAGAATGGCTGATAGTCGGATTCCAGAAGATCTCCTGTATGGAGAATTAGTGCAGGGAAATCACCCCAGAGGGAGACCACAGCTGCGATAGAAGGATATCTGCAAGCGGAATCTGAAGGCCTTAGGATGAAGTCCTGGAACGAGCTGGAATTGTTATCATTACTGAAACAGTGACGTCTACGTTGGCTCGGGCATATCGTGAGAATGGCTGATAGTCGGATTCCAGAAGATCTCCTGTATGGAGAATTAGTGCAGGGAAATCACCCCAGAGGGAGACCACAGCTGCGATAGAAGGATATCTGCAAGCGGAATCTGAAGGCCTTAGGAATAGACCTCAACAGATGGGAAACCTTGACATCTGAGTGTTCAGCCTGGAGGCAGGCAGTGCATCATGGCCTCTCCCATTTTGAAGAGACACTTGTTCAGTAGGCCGAGGCAAAGACGCATCCTCGAAACCAGCAAATTCAGGGAGCTGGACAGGGGACAGATTGTATTTGTCTTCAGTGTGGAAAGGAATTGTCACTCTCGAATTGGCCTTCTCAGCCACACTAGATGCTGTTCCAAGTCCTCTATTCAGAGCACGTTACCATAGGCACTCGAGACTGAAGGATGCCTAATCAATAACACCACAGAAACAATATCTCAGGATGAATTTTGGTATGTGTTCATATTCACATGGAAGAGGAAGAAAAAAAGAGGAGAAAGATTGTATTCTTTTTTTTTAAAAATTAATGCATTACTTTATATATCTACAAATGTCACATTTAAAAAAGGATTGCTAACAAAACTACTGTATTTTGTGTGATCAGACTGCATTGTTTTATAACACCACAGAAACAATATCTCAGGATGAATTTTGGTATGTGTTCATATTCACATGGAAGAAGAAGGAAAAAAGAGGAGGAAGATTGTATTCTTTTTTTAAAAAAAATAAGAATACATTATTTTATATATCTACAAATGTCACATCTAAAAAAGGATTGCTAACAAAACTATTTTGTGTGATCAGACTGCATTGTTTTAGACCCTGTGGTTTAAGGGAAACATGAAGAGATTAGCAGCTGGTGGACAACTCAGTGAGTGTTAGAAGGAAAAAAGAGGAGGAAGATTGTATTCTTTTTTTAAAAAAAATAAGAATACATTATTTTATATATCTACAAATGTCACATCTAAAAAAGGATTGCTAACAAAACTATTTTGTGTGATCAGACTGCATTGTTTTAGACCCTGTGGTTTAAGGGAAACATGAAGAGATTAGCAGCTGGTGGACAACTCAGTGAGTGTTGCAGAGTTTTGAATTGTGGTTAAAATACTGTGGCTGCATCACAGAAGTGCTGGGACTGAGATTAGAGTTAGCTTCAAGTCTCCTCAAAATAGACCACCCCTTTTTGTCTCATTAACTGCCAGTTACAGTCTCAATAACTTGTTAAGGCACTGGTAACAGAAATAATAAAACATTTTCATTTACTCATACTTGAACAGATCAAAAACAGCATACTGTCCAAAAAATGATTACTTACAACAACAGACCTCAACAAACTCGCTGTTGACAGCTTTCAGCAGACTCCTGAAGAATACATTCTCACTACATTAACTGCAAACTGTCAACAGACTGAAAAGAGAGGAGAAAAGACACTTAAGCGGAGAGGCATGGAAATCGGAGGCAAGGAAGGAACAATTGGTTACTGCCGGATTGACTGACAGTAATCCCAGCCCAGAAAGCCCCTCCCAGCCAAACCTACCACAGGCATACAAGACATTAATTGCAAACTGTCAAGAGACTGAAAAGAGAGGAGAAAAGACACTTGAGAGGCATGGAAATCGGAAGCATGGAAGGAACAATTGGTTACTGCTGGATTAACTGACAGTAATCCCAGCCCAGAAAGCCCATCCCAGCCAAACCTACCACAGGCATACAAGGTTGGAATGACCCCAACAGTGAGTTGCAGCATCTGCCTTGCAATGTCAGGAGTTGAGAGTTCAAATCCTTACTGTGCCTCCTGGTAGAAAAGTCAGCCTGTGTAGCCTGTACAGTCTTAAAGCCCCACCAGAAGAAAGTAATGGTAAACAATTTCTGAATATTTTATACCTAGGAAACTTTGACAAGTGTCACCATAAGTTAGAATCAACTTGATGACATGTTGTTCTCAAGATAATGACAAAAGTCTAGAAATTATCATTTATTATTGATACTTGTATCCTGCTTGACTTAGTGGGATCTCTACTCTGGACAGTCATTACAAAGTAATATAAACCCTAATTCCAACCCAACCTTTCCCAACATAGTAAATGGACAGTACACCCCGAACTAATGAAACAAAGGAAGTAAACAAACCAGATAAAACCAAGTGAGTAAACACCAATTGATGGTGACAGCTTTCAGATGATACAAGACTGCAGAATCCCCTTCCCAAGCAGGAGAATGTCTTTAAAGGCTTTCCTAAATAATAGTTTTGAACTGCCTTTTAAAAATCTGGAGGTAGGAGCCTGATGGATCACTAATGGAAGGCAATTCCAAGGAGCAGATTTTCCTTCATCAAAGGTTTTCAGGGAAGCTACAGAAGCAGATTTCCTGCATTGTTAAGAAATAAAACTACAGGGCTTCTTAGGTTTCTAATGCTTCTATGACCAGAATCCTACTGCAGTTTTATGTAAGATTTTGCAGCACTTGCCATGGCTAATTGCAAATAATTGCAGAGGGTGCTGGTGTTCATCTTGGTAATGCATGAGGTGTATGACCCTGTACATGACTTAGTCATGCCCTGGTACCTCATAAAGAAGCCACAATTAGCCATAGCAAGTTTTGTAAACCTTACATAAAACAACAGGATTCTGGCCAATTATTATATGGCTGGAATCCTATTGGTGGAGCTGTATATTCATAAGGCTGATGCAGCTACAGACATTAATATTAATTTAGAGTTTCCCATTCCCCTCCCCCACCTCTGGTTCTGAGGCTCCCTTGGGATCTCTTTTGAGTCTTGGGACAATGGGAGAGATGGAGAGTGAATATCCAGAAACCAGGATTCTATGGCTGGAATCCTGTTGGTGGAGCTGTATATTCATAAGGCTGATGACATCATCAGCTACAGACATTAATATTAATTTATAGTTTCCCATTCCCCTCCCCCACCTCAGGTTCTGAGGCTCCCCTGGGATCTCTTTTGAGTCTTGGGACAATGGGAGAGATGGAGAGTGAATATCCAGAAACTGCAGCTAGCAATCCTGATTTTGATTTGGGCTGTGTTTCCTTTTCCTCCATGGCTTAGGGAAATTAGAAATCACCATTAAAATGTCAGTAATGGAAGGGACAGAGAATAGAAGCTAGAGTTTGTTGCATCATGTCTTCAGGAGAGATTACACTACAGAGAATTCTGTCAAGAAAAGCAGGAATTCCATAACAGCTGAAAGCATGGGATTGTCACAGCTGTGGCTTTTCCCAGCTTCCATAGTTTCCAAATTAGCTTGGTTTGTTTTTTGATTGATCATCAAGAAGAAGTTGTGAGTAGCTTAATCTGCAAGTCTAATTTTGCAAATAGGAAAATCTGTCTAAACTACCTCTCTGGTACTCTAATGAGATTTCAGTTCGAATGATGGGTTTTCTGTAACACACGGGTTGGCCTCTAAAGCACTGTATGACTGAGAGTTGCTACAACTTCAGCAACACTTCGCAAGTCATCCGAGTGCAAACCAAGACAGAAGAGGAGGCGCGTTGGCCATCCTAGCTAGAAGAGTAGAAGGGATTTAGGAATCAGGAGTCTGTCAAGCAGGTAATAAATAATGATGTCACATTAAGCCAGGAAAACACCCCATAGAAATTAGAACAATGGGGAATCAATTTGGTTCCACAATTTCTTTCCACCTGTGTTGAAGTTTAATGCCCACTGAATAAATTATTTCCCACCACTGCACATACCAGTCAACCTGATAGAGAAAGCCCTCTCCTGTGTCCCCACCAATGCACCTATGTAGGTGGTAGGACTGAGAGAAAGCCATCTCTTGATGAGTTTGACATCCAAGCAGTCTTATAAAGGGAGACATGGTCCTTGAAATAGCTTGGACCCAAGCTGTTTTGGGCTTTATAGGTTTAAACAAGCATTTTGAGTTTTGCTTGGAACTGGATAAGCAGCCAGTGGAGCTGCAGTAACGGGGATGGGGGTGGGGGTGGGATGTGTATTATATCAGGGGTCCCCAACCAGTTCATGGCCTGGGCCGGACCGGGCCACAGAGACAGCTCTCCCACCCCCCCATGCACCCTCCAGCACAGCCCCTTTGTGCATGTGCGCAAGTGTGCCCGTGTGAGAGCCCCCACCCCTTTGCGCATGTGCACATGCCCCTGAGCACACCCACATGTGCACGAGTACGGGGGTGCCTTCCCCAACTGGTCTGTGGTGTTAAAATGGTCAGGGACCACTGTGTTATATGATCCCTGTAACCAGCCCCAGTTAACCATCTGGGAATTGGAACATTGAGTACAAATCCAGTTATTAGTCTCAGCTAATCAATGCTGACTAGATTTAGATGAAGGGAGAGTGAAAATACTTGGAAGAAACAACTGTAATAGTTGTAGAATTTTTGGGCTGTTTGGCCATTTTCTGAAGGTTTTTCTTCCTAACGTTTTGCCAGTCTCTGTAGCTGGCATCTTCAGAGGACAGGAGTTAGAACTCTGTGTTCTGGTGTAGTGTGTGGGATAGCTGAGTATTTATAGCTGTGGGATCAGCTTTTTGTCCTTTTCAGGAGATTGGGTGATTATGGTGATCAGGGTGTTTTTTTTTTGTTATGGATATATTGTTTTAATGGGGGGAAAGATGATCTGTCACTGTGATTGATGGGTGTCTTTAGCTAGTCTTTCGTGTGCAGTGATCACCGGTCCTTGTGGCTGGGTAGAGTTTGTTGACTTTTTGCAGGCTGTATTTTTCAGTGCTGGGAACCAGGCTTTGTTGAGTTTTAGACTTTCTTCTTTTTTGTTGAAGCTCTGCTGGTGTTTGTGGATTTCAATGTTGTATATGGATTTCAATATAAACAACAATAATTTAAGATATGCAAATCATACCATCTTAGTAGCACAAAGCAGGAACAATCTAAAATTACTTTTAGTGAAAGTGAAAGGACAAAGTGCCAAAGCAGGACTGCAGCTGAATGTTAAATAAACAAAAATCATGACTACAGAACTAGCATTGACAGTGAAGAAATGGAAACAGAGATTTTGTATGGATTAGTTCTGTTGTCAATCCAGATGGAAACTGCAGCCAAGAAATCAGGAGAAAACAGACTCAAAAGGGCAACAATGAAGGAATTAGAAAACACCATGAAGTGTAGATATGTCACTAGAGATCAAGACCAAGATCACCCACATTCTTGTAATCTTGATCACTATGTATGGGTGTGGAAAGCTGGGCAGCTAAGAAAGTTGAAAGGAAAAAAAACTGATGTGTTTGAAATGTGGTGCTGGAGAAGAGCTTTGTGGATACCTTGCACTGCCAAAAATACACCTAGGTCAAATCAAGCCCGAACAATCTCTGGAGACAAAAAATTGAAAACTGAGGCTGTCGTACTTTGGGTACATCATGAAAATGCAAAATTCTCTGGAAAAGACAATAATACTGAGAAAGGTTGAAGGCAACAGGAAAAGAGGAAAGCCTAATACAATATGGACTGACTGCCTAAAGGAACCACAGGTTTGAGTTTACAAGAGCTGAGCAGGACAGGGCATTCTGGAGATCACTCATTCATAAAGTCACTATAAGTCGGAGGCCACTTGATGCAACAGTAATCAATGCTGAATCAAGAGGCTTTATATTCGTAAT